CATTAACTTTTCGTGGTGGGTTTTGGTGTTTGGGCTTCTGATTTACACCGTCTCCGGCGGTTGCCCGCTCACCTGGACCGGCTTCTCCGTCGAAGCCTTTTCTGGGCTTTGGGAGTTTGTTAAATTATCGGCTGCTTCCGGCCTCATGCTCTGGTTTTTCTCTCTCTTTCACCCATAATCATGATTCATGGCCAACCACATATATTATTTTTCTTTTTTTGGAGATTAATTAATTAATTTTTTGTTTTTGTTGAAACTATTTTACAGTTTGGAGAATTGGTATTACAGAATACTGATAGTGATGGCTGGAAATTTGGAGAATGCTAAGATTGCGGTGGATGCTTTATCCGTATGGTAAGGAGTTCAACCCTTTTTTTGTTTATACTTCATCGTGGTGTCTCTATCGTTGAATAATATTATAAAAATAAAAAATAAAAAACAAAAACATTGGTCTTTTTTCTTTGTTTGTAAATTCGAAATAACTGTTTTTACAAGAGCAATTATTTGCCTAAACTTACCGAGTCGTTGCAATCAAAACTTGCCAATTACTAGCGGAGTTTGTGATGACGAGTTTGATTGAAATGATTTTTTAGTTTAAAACAGTAACGATTCAAATTGAAAATTTGAAGATGTAACATTATTATAATTCATATTTTTCTTTTTTAAAAAAAAAAATTCAAAACTTGGTCTAATTTTTATTATGTTTGCACCTTGAAATGTCATATTTCAAAAGCATTTTGAGCTTGAAAACGAATTATTTCACAGTTTTGTAGTACAATAAATATGGGTTAGGTAGATTTGAACTATCGATCTTGTTTATGATTTTATTGCTTGGGATTATTTATTGCGACCAAAAAGCTTATACTTGTCTTGTAACATAGGAACTAAATAGTAAATATGTTTGGTTCGTATGTTTTAAATATGGTGTATTTGTGGTCTTCATTTTTCATAGTACTTTGAGTTTTCAACGTTGACTCTAGTTTTTTAATTTTAATTTTATTCTTTATTTTTTAAAAAATCTCTATTTAATTTTTACTAATAATCTAAACAAGATATATTAGTAATTAAAAAAATCATAATTAAAATTTTAAAAGGTTTTTCTAACCAATGTTAGAGAAGAGAATGTATCTGAATTCTGAAGGACAAAATTAATCAGTCTGTTTGAAACCTAGTATGGTCCAAATTTTAAAAGGTCCTGTTTTAGCATGTAATCTTTTACATAAATAATAGTTATTGATTTTGATTATCTATTAATTATTTAGTAGAAAATCTGGTTTCTTTCTTTACACTTGTGATATCCACTCATTAATTAATTGAAAAGAAAAAAAGAAATTATATTACGTTAGATATTATATTTCTATTAAACGAAAGTTAATGGTATTGACAAATAATTTTAATCCAAAATTCAAGAAAATAATTTATAAACTAAACCTTTTTTTTTTTTAATAAAAAGTGGCGCTTGAACTTTTAAAGCTTCTATTTTAATCGTTAGGTATAATATAATTGATTTTTGTAACAAATTACTAAAAACATAATGTTGTAGACGAATTTGCTTACTCAAATTTAGAAAAATGAGAGGCCAAACATAAGATGCCAAGAAAGTTGAGAAAATATAAAAATAATAGACATGATTTAGAACCAGACATGAACCTAAAATATTAGGGGGCAACATGTGAAATTAAAAAAAAAAAAAAAAAAAAAAAGAGTTACGTTTCCAATTTGTAGACTGTCTCTGTTCTGTGCATCTGGCTATTAAAAGCTGACATATAATGTATGAATCACTGGTCTCTTTCGACAGCATGACAATTAATGGCTGGGAATTGATGATTCCTTTGGCTTTTTTCGCCGGTTCCGGGTAATTTTAATTTCTACTCTATTTTTCTTAATTATTTCTTTTTTTAAAGATCCATGGTTCGAAATTGATGAGTTAAAAGATCTCATTTTGCTTATACTACAAGTTAACTATTTATTTTAATTACCATCCTTATCTAGCTTTATATAATAATAATGGTCTTTTACATACTCAGGTTTGAATTTAATATATCATTGGTTTGTAAATGCTGCTGATAAAAGTAAAACAGTTGGTTTAAATCTAATTTTCTGCCTTTCATACTTGTTTTAGTTTCTGAATTTTATATAAAACAATATTTGTGGACCAAGCAATTCAATAATCATACTTTTAGAAACTACATATTTATTTTGTAGATACTATAACTTTTTCCATTTACAATTTGATACATTATTAAATAATTTATTATTTTATTTTGTGAACCCACCCTATTTTTAAATGTTGTGTATATGGATGTGAGAATTTTAAAGTAATCTAGTAACAAGGAAGTGTTTGGTTTGAAATTGAAATGGGTGTGTTAGCGGGTCCATATCATGTATGTCACCCGTTTGATAACGTTCCGGTTTCTCAAAATTATAAGCATTTTGTTTTCAAATTTCTTAGGAAGTCTCAGTATTTTGCAACTAATTTTGTTTTTTCTCTTTTGCTCTTTTTAGACATTCTCAAAATTATATAAAAATTTAAGATACGATTCTTCATTTTTGTTCTAATTTCCTTATTCTGAAACTTAAATAAAAATATTGTTTTATAATACTTGAATTCTTTAGATGTTATTTAAAATGAACAAAAAAAACAAAAAACGGAAATGTATAGAATATAGGTCGGGCCCTATGTTTCTGCATTTCATGAATTTTCCTTCAACTTGGCAAATCAACGTGTTTCTCAATTTCTTGGTTCTTTCATTTTTGTTTTTGTAAATTTATTACCTTGACTTGTATTGTCCTTTTTCGATCCTCAACTTCGTTTTCATATCGAAAGTCAGTGTGATTCGATTATGCATCTGGATTTTGGGTGAAAGTTCATTTCAGTCATTGTATGTAAGAAACTATTTAACAAGTTCTTCAAGAAATATCAAATAGTTAAAATCGCATGTAATGTAGGTGCTGTAGTTTAGAATGAAGTCAGATATTTGTTAAATGAGTGATAATGACTGAATTAATTTCTTTTTACAAAATTTAGGATCAAATAGGAAATAAAATTAGTTTTTTTCTCAACCATAAAATTATGTGTCTTTTTTTTATTGTCAGAAAACAACTTTGTTTTTAAGAATATTTGTAACTACAATGTTAAAAAAAAAACAATTATAAATAAAATACATTTGTCGTAATATTGCCTTTTTGTTTTTGTTTTATTGATTTTGTTTTTTTTTTATTAAAAATGTGGCCCCTTCAAAATGCTGAAAAGTGGGAAGTCTGACTTAGTTTCATTTCTGATTTGAAATTCTTTCAAAGGTTGTCTGATTCTATTTTCTTTTTCTTTTTCTTTTAAGTAAATTAACGGTGGAGTTTTAATCAATGGAACTATATTCATATTAACACGTAATCTTATTTTTATCATTATTGGTTTGGGATATTCTATTAGTTAAATTTTATGGAAAAGAAACTAATCTTTATCATTTTTATAAAATCTTTATAATTGATTTAATAGATTAATTTAGTGATACGAAACATGTTTAGTCCTGGAGAAATCATTGCATGATATTAAACTGAATTTGGCAACTACCTATGATCTAGGTTTTAAGAAAGGAGAAATAAAAAATGGGATTGTTTTGGGAAAAGTGAAAAGTGACCCTTCTTATTCATTGGAAAAAGAAAAAGGTACAAAAACAAAACTAAAGTTTGTATTTATATATATATTTATAGGTTTAGCTTTTTCGTACCTTTTACTTTTTTTAACACAAGGATAGAAGCTTTTTTCCACATGGTTTTTAATCTTTTGACAATAATATATTACAAAGGAAGATTGGAAGAGAGAATTTATTAACAACCTATCACTCATAGAGTAACATTCTATGATATGTCAAAAAGAAGATTTAATGTATGGCTCCTAACAAACAGGTGAGCATAGTTCAACGACAAAGAATATTTGTTCTTTTTTTTTGAGGTCGGATATTCAAATTTATGTATCCTTAATTTGATTGAACTTGAATATCTTACTGAGAGAGATATGTTAGATTTTAATGTGTAAACTAACGTGTTTGTTTAAAATATGATGGTTAGAGTGAGGGTGGCGAATGAGCTCGGAGCTGGAAACGGAAAAGGAGCAAAATTTGCCACAATGGTGGCGGTTGTGACATCGGTCATAATTGGACTATTTTTCTGGGTATTGATTATGATATTCGACTCCAAAATCGCTTTGATATTCACTTCGAGTAAAGCAGTGCTCAAAGAAGTTAAGAAGCTCTCTGTTCTCTTGGCCTTCAGTATTCTACTTAACAGTGTTCAGCCTATTCTCTCGGGTATGATTTATAAGTTGGCTTTCTGTTTTATTTTTGAAGTTCATTTCATCATGATTTTATTTTTATTTTTAAAGAACAAACTTGTTCACTATTTTTCTTTTTGTTGCATTCTCGAAAAAAAAAATGTAGAGAGCTAAAGACAAAAAGCTTAGAAAGAGGGAAAGAGATGTGTGAGAGCGATAAAGGAAAGATGGAGAGAGACATTTGTTAAAAAAACAAAGTTTACATTTTAAAATGATGGTATCAAGCAACCCTTAATTTTGGAAATGAAAATGATCTATAAACCAAAAATGAAAAATGAGATGAGTATCGAACGAAATTTTAATTTTCCGAATTTAATTGTAATTCTAATACATTTTTTAAGGTAAATTCCAAAAGAAAAAAAAAAGTTGAAAAGTACGATTTTCAAAATTAACAATAAGAAAACTGTTAATGTTCTAATTTGTCTACCACGCAAGAAATCATTTGAAGGGTTGGAATTTTACATCCTTGAATGTAATGGATAAATAGTTATGATAATTATTAGAGATAGTCACATCGTGATAGTCACATTGAATAATTTCTCCCGCTTTACAATTTTGGATTGTTTTGACAGGCGTGGCAGTTGGTTCGGGGTGGCAATCATATGTTGCATACGTGAACTTAGGTTGCTATTATCTAATTGGATTGCCTCTTGGTTTTTTGATGGGTCGAGGCTTCAACCAAGGAGTTATGGTACTTTTTTTTTTATTTTTATTTTTTTGAATATATTCCTTTACCATTTTCTTTAAAAAAAAACTTCATTTAAAAAGAAAAAGATAAAAAAAATGGTATAACATAAGATGTTATGTTATTAATGACGTTGTGGATGAAATGTGATTAGGGCATATGGGCTGGAATGATATTTGGTGGAACAGCAATTCAGACATTGATCTTGTCCATTATGACCATTCGATGCGATTGGGATAAAGAGGTAAATTTTAAAATACTCTCCAACGAGCTCTTGCCTATTTAGTAATTTAAAAGAAAAAAAAAATCAATAAATTTCTCAAACTTTTGAATTTATAAATACAAAATGCCTAATCATCCCACATTGAAAGGAATCCTAATGAATATGTTCAAGACCTATTAGAATTATAAGATGGAGGGATGTAATTGAAGCTTTTTTAAAATTGAACAAAATTTGGTTGAGAGTTAACGTAAGTTATGTGAAATAATTAAGTAGTTTAGGTTTATGAGTCATTTGGCTTAAAATGTGATGAATTTTCAGGCAGAGAAAGCAAGCATGCACATTAAGAAGTGGGCAGAAGAAACTCCAGAGCACTAAGTTATATTTTTCTTTCTCAAAGTGGAAATATTCACATATGTTTATTTGCTTCCCATATTAATAAGCAAATGCTCTCTCTCTCTCTCTCTCTCTCTCTCTCTCTCCAATTTTGCTACAATTAATTCTCAATTTTACCCTAGGCTTTTAAGATCTTCAAATATCTCAATCAACTTTTTTTTTTTCCTTTTAAAATTTCCTGAAATAAAAATATTTAGTTCAAGAATGAAATTGACACCTCATATATAGGTTGTTTAAGGAGGACAAATTAATAAAATAAACGTTATTCAATTTCTGGTCCTTTATTGAAGCATTAAATGATTGTCAAAATTAAATTTATCCAAAAACACTTGCGTCTGCGCCGCAAGAGGCCCACAGCTACAATATTAAGTTTTCTTTTACCTTTTTTTTTTCAAAAAAATTATAACTAATGTGTTATAAACTTATTTTATTTTTTTAAAAAAATTAAAATATTTAACATATATTATACTATATATTATATAAGATTATAAAATAGTAGTTATACCATATTTATAATATATACGTTAATAAATTAATAAATAATGTTTGAGATTAAATTAAATATTTAGTTGATAACTCTCGATAATTTACAAATATATTACTAAATACATCTTTATTTTTTAAATTAAAACTCAATTTTTAAATTTGGTACTAAACATAAAATACATGTATATTTTCTATTATTTTGTATGAAATGTCTTATTTGTTTCTTCAGCGGGCTCTGACTTCTTTACATTTTTCTCGTCTGTCTTCTTTCCTCTTCATTCGATCATAGCTATGTCAAAACTTGATTAATACGGTGCTTTCCAAATCCTAAAAAGATTGGGTTTTTTTTCTTCCCCTTTTCTTTCTCTGTCTTTTCTCTGAACACATCATATTCCAATTATTTCTAAACCCTGATTGGTAATCATAAGGCAGCTGGTTTCTTTGTAAGCCAAAATCTCTAATGTTTGACATATAATTGTCCTAATTATAGCCTTATAGCTTGGTCCACTCATTATCTTCTTCACCATTTATCTTTCATTGGCCTATTATGGTAGCTAAATAGCAACTCATGTCTACTTACCTTTTGTTTTTGAAATTCCGCCAAAAAAAAAAAAAAAAAGAAAACTCAAATGAATTAAGAAATGGTAAGAAAACGAGCATAATTTTTTATCTTTTTCTTTCGTTTGATTCTCGTAACCCTCCTAATGAGTACGTATATCATCCACTTCCGCGACCCTCCTAAGCTTCAACACCACCTCTATGTTTAGAAGGTTGTAAAATTGTAGATCAAAGAGAAATATTTAAACAAAAAATTCAAGGGTTTCGGTAATTGAATTTAGATTTTGCAATGAATAAAATTTTTGTCCACACAGATCAGAGCATCAAATTAAAAGGGGAACAAGCAAAGGCTAAAGCTTCCAAGTTCCAATTCTATTCCCTTCAGCAACTTAACCAGTAGCATATATTGGGCTAATTCTGATATATAATGAAGCTAAAATAGTTGGCTCTGATAGATATTGTGATATGCTAATTCTGATGTTAAGGATGAATTAACCACCACTCAACCCAGAAACTGTTGGATAAATTTAATTCATTTATGGATATCTAACAAAAGTAAAAAGCATCCGAGAATTCATATCCAGCCTATGGATTTTATGATCTATAATTTGTTGAGGTGATTTCTCCCTAACAAGTTTAGAAGCTTCACTAAGATGATTGGAAATAATGTACTGAAGGTATTTTTCATTTTTATTTTGAGTTTGACACGATGTAGGATGAATTTCGAAATTGTGATTTTATACTCATGAATTATGTTCAGATTGATAATTAATTAAAGAATTTAATTAACTAATTTAACACGACTAAAATATGTTTATTAAACTCTTATGATATCCCTTTAGTATATGAAGCTGGCTGGAAAAATATAAATTAGAAAGGTTAGGTATGCAAGGCCCATAGGCCAACAAGGCCTAGACTAGAGGCCCCATGGTTTCTTCATTTTATAATATACTATGTAAATATTTTTGTAAAGTCCTAACCAAATTTTATACTTTCTTTTTCTTTTTAAGTAGTTTTACAATTTTCTTTTTCATTTTTTCATTTAAAGAAGAACCTGAATAATAAAATAGTTGTTTGGATATAATGGAGACAAAATAATTATTAAAGGTTATTGGGCCAAAATAGTCACACCTAAGCCCATAGCTTGTCCTTGTTTTCATTAGTTTTAATGACCTGATATTAATACACATGATGGAGGATTTTCATGCGACTTCGCCGTGAGTGATGGAAACCAAAAAGAAAAAAAAGGGTGACGGCTAGTTTGTGTTGGTGCACAAATTGTAAGGTGGCGGCATTGTTTTGGTTGGCAGAGGAAGAAAAGAGAACTTGATTTGTAGAGCGTTGTCGGCAGCATGTTCTCTTGAGGTTAGTGAGGTTTTTCGTTTTGTATTTCTAAGTATCTATTGACATAGTGCTTAGAAGCTAGTTGGCCATTGTTGTGGCATCTAGAGAGTGCTTTGTAGAGCGTTTGTGAGGTCCATTGTATTTATCCCAAAATCATAGTAGAACCCGTTGTTGCGGAAGACTGGACGTAGCCCATAGTTGGGGTGAACCAGTATAAATTGCTTGTGTCGTTTTCTGTGCTTTTCTCTATATATTTGCATATTGTGGTTGTGTTTGGATATTTTCTGTGGGAGGGGAAATTATACAAGATAGTTAATTTCCCAACAAGTGGTATCTAGGTTTCAGAGTCATGGGAGAGAATTTCAGTTTTTGGAAGATGCAAGTAAAGGATCTTCTTACGTGCAAGAAGATACACAAGACTTTGGGGGAGAGACCAGCGGATATGACAGACAAAGCTTGGACTGAGATGGATGAGCAGGCCATTGCAAATATCAGAATGGCATTATCAATGGGGGTATGCAGTCTTGTGGCGAAAAAGACGACTGCAAAAGAGTTATTAAAGGCATTGCAAGACAAGTATGAAAAACCATATGCCAATACAAAAATATTTCTATGGACCAAGTATTTTAACATCCACATGGAGGAGGGAACCTCGGTGAATTCCCATATTAATGAGCTCACCGATATCTTGAACAAATTAGAAGGAATGAGTGTCAAGATTGAGGAGGAGGTGAAAGTTATGAGGCTGTTGAAGTCTTTGCCTGACAGTTGGGAGATGATGAAGACTGCGGTGTCGAATTCGCTAGGAGAAAATAGCTTGAAATTTTCAACTATTTGTGATGCCGCCTTATCTGAGGAAGCCCGGAGAAAATTAGGAAAAATGTATGTAACTACTTCAGGGGCAGAAAATGGGGTTGAATCAACTTTGGTAGCTCAGTTTAAAGGGAAGGGCGAGATGAAGTACAACGGGAAGCAGCAACATAGGAATAATAGGGGTAGTGGAAATTCCAGTGGAGAAGTTAAATGTTTTTACTGCCATAAGAAGGGCCACTTCAAGAAACATTGCAGGAAGCTTAAAGAGGATCAGGAAAATGAGGACATTCTAAATTACGTGTCAGCGGAGGTGTTAGCTTGTATTGAAGGTAACACAACACCTGTAGACCGTTCATCAGAGTAGGTAGTGGACAGTGCAGCTTCGGTGCATGTAGCTTCAGACAGGAGTTGGTTCACGTCCTTTACTGCAAGAAATCATGGTGTGGTAAGAATGGGAAATGAGAGACTCTCCAAGATCAGAGGAATTGGGGATGTTCGTTTGAGAACTGACAATGGGACCGAGCTAGTTTTGCATGGTGTCAGGTATGTACCCAGTTTCATGATGAATTTGATATCAGCAGAGAAGCTGGATGACGAAGGCTACAGAAGTGAGTTTGTAGAGAATAGATGGAAACTCATGAGGGAATCCGAGATAGTGGTTGTTGGCCACAGAAAAGCTTCAGTGTATGTGTTGAGGTTTAATGTTGCCAAAGGATTAGAGAGACAAGTTATGCACAGGGCTGCAGATAGTTCAGGAGGATACTTGAAAGAACTAGCAGCATTGACAGTCGGAACAGATCAGAAGAATCTGCCATCAGTTCAAGTACAACATCTGGAAAGTAGAGGAACGGGAAAGGGGAACAGCTCAGTGAGGTGTTCGTCAGACTGTTAGTTTCGAGCCCCAGTTGTCAGACGGATTAGCAAGCTGATAAAGTCGCGTAGGCGAAAGGGTGCATTGAGAAAGACTACAGTTGGTGCTGAGGTCGATGGTGAAGTCTCTAGAGTGGCAACGGACTTGGGTGGAAGTGTCAAGTCATCAGAGAAATCTTTCTTCAAGAGTCGTTGGGTGCGAGTGAAGAAGGAAGCGTCAGAGACCACTTAGTTCGAGTGGGAGCACGTGGCTGTGTCTCTAACGTCTGGGAGACAAGACCACCTATGATTGCTCAGTCTCAGGGCAATCACAAATGGAGCTTTGGTTGGTGCCAAGAAGAAGTTAGAAACTGTCGATGCAGTGGGAGTTGAGCCTTGGTTGATGCCAAGAAAACGTCGTTTAGTTGAAAACTGTTGGTGCAGTTAGAACTGAGACATGAGGGACACTGTTGTTGCAGTGGGAGGCGAAATTGTCGTTTTGTCTCCAAGTGGGAGATTGTTGGGATATATTGGAGACAAAATAATTATTAAAGGTTATTGGACCAAAATAGTCACACCTAAAGCCCATAGCTTGTCCTTGTTTTCATTAGGTTTAATGACCTAATATTAATACACATGATGGAGGATTTTTATGCCACTTCGCCGTGAGTGATAGAAACCAAAAAGAAAAAAAGGGTGACGACTAGTTTGTGTTGGTGCACAAATTGTAGGGTGGTGGCAGTGTTTTGGTTGGCAGAGGAAGAAAAGAGAACTTGATTTGTAGAGCATTGTCGGCAGCGTGTTCTCTTGAGATTAGTGAGGTTTTTCGTTTTGTATTTCTAAGTATCTATTGGCGTAGTGCTTAGAAGCTAGTTGACCATTGTTGTAGCATCTAGAGAGTACTTTGTAGAGCATTTGTTAAGTCCATTGTATTTATCCCAAAATTATAGTAGAACTCGTTGTTGCGGAAGACTGGACGTAGCCCATAGTTGGGGTGAACCAGTATAAATTGCTCGTGTCGTTTTCTGTGCTTTTCTCTATATATTTGCATATTGTGGTTGTGTTTGGATATTTTCTGTGGAAAGGAAAATTATACAGGATAGTTAATTTCCCAACAATAGCAAGTAAAGAAAACTAGCTTTCTAAAATAAAAAAACTACAGATAAAATTGTTCTCGAATGATCTTAAATTATTAATTCAAGTTCTTGAAAAAGATACGGATAAATCAAATGAATAAGTGTCTTTTATTTGTAAATTACTGTATTTTTCTTAGAATTCAAAAACTTAAAAATTACCTTTGATCACTATTTTACTTTCAATCAAAACAGGTTTGGTTTTCAGTTTAATTTTAAAGATAAAAAAAGAAACAGTTATCAAATTTATATTATTTTTTTATTTTCTAAAATATAAAACTAAAAACAGAAAACCCATAAAGTTACAAAAATTCATTATCAAAGGGAAGGTGTGGGATTGCAATTTATTTTTGTTTCTCGAAGAAGCTTTTGTTGCATCCTAATTGGAAACAGTTGCTCTATTGTACCACCACACATGCATCAAATAAATAATTTAAACATGCTTTGAGCAATTGCTCTTAAATTCAAGAATATATGATCAATTGAAACCTCATAAATTAAAAAGTGAAATTAAATTCAAGAATGTGTAATAAATTAAAAAGTGAATTTTTTTTTTGAAAAAAAATATGAAATAATAAACACTACAAAAGTAAGATTAACCAAATTTGGATTCATTTAGAGACCTAACTTCCTCGTTATTATTGCAGATATCCATTCCCATAATTAATGGCCATTAATTAATTATAATATGTAATGTTTATGTGCCCGAAAACAACCAAAAAAAGAATACGTGATTGTAATTTGCTTCGTAAATATATAGCTCACAAAAACATCACACATTAGACTGCTGATTTGACCTGATATAGACATGGTTGCTACTAGTAACTCTATTTTCAATAATTAATTTTTTTTATTTATTCATCAATTACATCTTTTTTTTTTTAAATATTCGTGCTAAGTTTTTTTTATAATCCTCGTTTCAATTTAGTTGGAGAAATTTCATTATCATTCTTGTCATTTGATTAAAGAAAGGTAGAGAAGTTTCATACACAATATTTCGTTACAACTAAAAAGACAGAATGAGCTCTATATCTCGATTTTATGTTATTTAACAATAATTAACACTTTGATACTCTTCAATGAGAATAATAAAACATTCTAAGTTTTGATTGAAGGATAAAGATGAAAATAAAGCTTTCATAGAGTATGCAAATTCGTTAAAATAAGTACTAGAAACATAATTTAAGCTTAATATTATTATGGTTAATTTTATATTTTTATGTAATGGAAATTAAAAGAGTTTATAACTTGTGATAAGCTAAATTTCCATTTATACACTTATCTTTTCTCAAGTGACCTCCATGAGGAATCCAAATGGGCAGATGCTCAATATTAGCATTCATGTGATTGTTTTCTTTATAACTTATTTTCCTTATCAAATTTGTGAAAGAGAAATGGTTCTTTTTGTCTCTTCTAATTTGTTTGTTTGAGGATATTTTTAGTCCATTCTCATATATTTTATACTCGTTAAAAATAACAATTTGAGAAATATTAAAAAAAAAAAATTTGTTAGACAATTACTGTTTATTAATTAAACCGCTACTTTGCATAAAGAGGGTCGAGAAAATAAATTTATTGTTACACACAGTTCATACTTTAATGTATTATTTAAAGAAGGATAAAGTTTATGCCTCATTTTATTGGTAAGTTGACATGATAAATTGACATGGATGTCAGATGGATTCACGTGTGAGCAAGAGATTATTAACCTATAAATATTATTGGCAAACATTACTCAAACTATGCTGACAAATATGAGCTCAATATGAGCTATTATTAATATAGTTAACCTCGTACGCTCTCAACTCATGATCAATGATCAATATGAGTTCTAGCTTTCCTTCAGAAAAAGCATGAGGAAAAAAATGTTCGAATGATACGATCCCTATCAAGTTTAACACAAAGGTAAAGAATATCAAAATATTTAGTGGTATTTATAACTCATTGAGTGATACAGAGAGCTTAACTAATATTATACCAAACTAACAATATTACAATTATATTGTTCAACTTTTAGTGAGCTCCCTTTACAATCCCTCCGTCATTCCAGAATGAAAGGGATGATCTCGTAGTTCTTGGTCTGTGAAGATACGTTGTTAATGGTTCAGTTTTATTCTCGAAGTCGAACCTAAACCTATGCAAATATATGAAATCAATCCATTGTAAATATGAAATCAATTTGAATTACAAAGTGTTCATTGTTTCTAAAATAAGTGACTGAAAATTAATTTCTATTTAACTTAGCAACTAAAAGATGCATACTAATACACAAACATATGTATGCTTTTTATGTGTAATAAAAATATGAGTTAAGACACATTTTAATTGCTTCAGTTTTTTTTTAAATGCATTAAAAATAAATAAAATCACTGGAGGTTACATCAAAAGAGTGGTAGTCACGTACCACAATCAAAATCTATGGAAGAAAATAATTATCCCCATTCAATGGAGTGAAGGAGAATCATCAATTATCGGATGGATCTTGTTAATTATGGTACTACTATTTAGACTTTGAAGGAAAATAATTGTTTTCAAAGTTGACTTATCTTCCACCATGACAAGTAAAGAAGGTTCTGACAAATTCCACAAATTCCCCAAATCATACTGACGAATCTCAATACAATAAATATTGATGACCTTAACAAATTCCAAAATGGTGTTCAAGTCGATCGTCGACCATCTTTTGCTCCTTCATGATTGCATCTAAACAGTAGAAGTTTTTTGAATAAATGTGCAACAAAGATGAAGAGTCATTCTAAGAAATCGTAGGTGGTTGCCCTTTTCAATTTTGTGCCTGATAACTCTTCAAAACGTCCTGATGACGAAGCCACGAACCATACATAACAATATTGTTTTTGATTTTGTCAGCCACAACAACACTATCGGCATCCAACGGAGAGATTTCCGACTCTCGACTACTATCCGCCATCACAGAAACCGCTGGAAAAAAGGATCCTCCCTAAAAATCGCCTCCACAACAACAAGAGAGAGCTCTGTTATATCTCGACCCATGCTACTTACCTCTTCCAAAAAAAAAAAAAAAACCCACGGAAACAACTAGAATTTAGTCGGAAGATTGAGAGAAAACACACACCCTTCATGGGAAGGGTAAGAATAGAAGCGAAGCAAGCCATTGGCCACTACCTTCCCCACTTTTTTCTTTAACTCCTGATTTCTTCGATTTGGATTCCGTAGGTTGGTCCACATTTATTGATTTTTATATGACAGTCTCTTTTCAAAGTGAACAGTGACATTAATAACAATCTATTGGGTAACAATACAGATTAATAAGATATTATTAAAATACAAGAATTAAAACAAAAGGTAAAGAGCCTTGCTCAATAGAGAAAGAAATTTATTTTCGAAAAAATGTCGTGAGTTCGAATCTCTCCACCCCACATGTTGTACTAAAATAATTAAAAAAAATAGGTGGTAGTTGAAAATTTATTAAACTAAGAATATACATATATTTCAATACACTAATATATATTATATAAAATATACTACAGGGAGAAACTTTATCTCACCGATTTTGATTTTAATTTTAATCATTTTCTCTAGTTTAAAATTAATTTTGGCTCTCCCTGTCCCTCTCCAAATCCCCTTAAATTCTAACAATTATCTCCCTACCTTAGGTCACTCCTCTTAATTTCCCTATATTTTATGATAATATTCCTCCATAAAACGAGGGTAATCTGGATATTTTGTAAACCAAACTTACCCCACATTAAAAAATAATAATAAAAAAATAAATAGTAATTTATTCATGATTTCGGGATTGTCGATTAGTTGCAGAGACAATTCCGTTGGACGGCCCCCCGATACGCTGACGCCAACCGGATCTTCCCCGGCTCAAATCCCCAAGCCGAGCCGAGCCGATCTGCACCACACGCTCGTTCCTTCACACGTTCCGTTCCAATATTTTTTAGATTTAAGAAAAAAAGAAAAACAAAGAAGTCTTCAGTCTTCAGTCTACACTACCGGCTATAGCCGGTGATGAGAAATTTGCATTGCATTTGCATCGCAATTTTGGGTTCATTTCATTTTGGAACTCCACTGGTACCTAACCCCAGTCAGATTGTAACCCAAGTTTGGTTTATTTAAAGAGAGAGAAAGTGCGAAGGCCAATTGGGTTATGAACTGCTCCCCCCAACTTCCCATCTCTCCTCTCTCTCTCTCTCTCCCCCTCTCCCCTCTGGTTTTACGAACGTTGTTTTCAGATGAGCATTCCCAATTTTCCATTGAGAAGAGAGTGGAGTGAGATTTTGTTTTATGATTGATTGCTGTTCTTAAATTTCTGGGTTCTGTCTGTAATGGGTTCTAAGGGAGAAGAGATGCTGAAGAAAGATGAGGAATCAGGGCAAGGGAACAGTTTGTACAGTAAATTGTGTATCCAAAACTGTACAACTTGTTATTCTTTCTCCAGACATGGGACTTTTGCCTTCATTGCTTCCTTGAAGTGAAGTTATATTATTCCAATTTCTTCCCTTCCAGAACACTACTTAACAACCAAAAAGGAAACAATCATAAACAGCAACAAAAATTTAACCCATCTCATCATCATCATCATCATCTTCTAAGCTTTCTGTTGCACTAGTTTGTGTTTAAATTTTCTGCGTCCCCAGTCATGAAGAGGCCTACTGCAGGCAGCTCAGATTCCTTGGGTGCACTCATGTCCATTTGCCCAACTTCAGGTTAATTTTGCTATTTCAATTTTCATAGACAAATCAAAATGCCCCCCTATCAAAATTCTTCTTCCCTTCTGTTTTTCTACTTGTGATTTTCAGACATACCCATGTGGGTGTTCTTTTCCTTGTCTCCCCCAACTTTTTCCATTTCCACAATCGTCGACCAATCAATCACCCCTTTTGCTACTTTTCAGACTGTTCAATTTTGCTTTTCTTATCTGGGTTTGTCGAGATTTGATCCAATTTCTTTTGTTTGCTCTAATTCCTTTCCAAATTTGTGTACAGATAAGGAACAGAGTCCGAGAAACAACCATGTTTACGGGGCTGAGTTCCAGTCTATGCTTGATGGGTTTGATGAAGAAGGGTGCGTTGAAGAATCGGGACATGTTTCGGAGAAGAAGAGGCGACTGAGTGTCGAGCAAGTTAAGGCTCTGGAGAAGAATTTCGAAGTGGAAAACAAGCTCGAACCAGAGAGGAAAGTGAAGCTGGCTCGAGAACTTGGTTTGCAGCCTCGACAAGTGGCCGTTTGGTTTCAAAATCGTCGAGCCAGATGGAAAACCAAGCAATTAGAAAGAGATTATGGCGTTCTCAAAACCAATTATGAAAAACTCAAGCTCAATTACGAAACTCTCCAACAGGACAATCACGCTCTCCTCAAGGAGGTACAATACAAAACCCTTTCTCCTCTTCTGAAAGATCGTGACAAAGAAAATTGAACACAAATGTGATAATTAAAATTGAACAGAAATGTGATAATTGAGACTGTAAAATGATGTTTACAGATTCGGGAACTGAAATCGAAGCTTCAAGAAGATAACTCGGAGAGCAATGTTTCGGTGGAGGAAGAGATGGTGTTGGCGGCCGCCGACTCTGAGAATGCTCTGATTGAAAAAACAGAGCCGGAAACCGGTGACTTCTCTGTTCCTCCGGCGACGGAGTTAAAAGACCTCAATTACGAGAGCTTCAACAACAATGGCGGAGAAGGAGAAGAGGTACCAACGGAAGAGGCCTCATTGTTCCCCGATTTCAAAGATGGGTCATCCGATAGCGATTCGAGCGCAATTTTAAACGAAGATTACAGCTCCACGGCGGCCATTTCTTCACCGGGGGTGCTGCAGAACCAGCACTACCACTTCATGGCGGCATCTCCGTCTCCGTCTCCCTCCGCCGCCGTGAAATTCAACTGCTCAACGGCAGCGCTCAATTACTGGCAGTTTCAGAAGGCGTATCAACAAACCCAGGTGTATCCGAAAATGGAGGAGCATAATTTCTTCACCGGAGAGGAGGGTTGCTGCAACTTCTTCTCCGAGGAGCAAGCTCCGAGTCTGCACTGGTGGAGCTAAATCCGTGGCGGCATAAGCGAGAAATTTGAAGAGAGAATAAAAATTGGGGAGTAATTTTCGAGGTCGTTGAATTGAAGGCATGAGAGAATTAATCGGAAGGAGAAGATCGGATTGGGGAGAAGTTATGGAGAAGAGAAAATTCACGTGGGGTTCTCCATGAAAAATAATTGCCCCAGTTCTACTTTTCGCTTTCTTCTTCCCTGAATTCGTGCGGGAAAATGATGAGATCGTAATTGAAATCTACGCTGTAAAAATCAAAACCAGAAAAAAAAATCAATCAATAGGGATTAGAAAAAACTTGTGTTGGAAAAATAATCATAGTCTTCGCTTTCTTGCCGTCGTCCAAACAGAACAAAGTAGAATCTTCCTTCTAATTTTTTCCGCTGCAAAATTTTCAACAAATAAGTGATGATTTTGTCCCAGAAGAAAAGTGATCGATTCAGTGAATGACACATAAGTGAGTAGGAAACGAAAATTGATCCACTCCCAATTCAATAAGATAAATTTAATTATTTATAAAAAAATAACACTTTTTATTTTTATTTTTAGTTTATTTCTTTCCCTAGTAACCTTAACATAATATTTAATTTATCAAATATCATAAATTTATATTAAATAATTTTTATTGTTTACAAAATTTGTGTTGAAATTTTGTAAATAGATATTAAGTTAATTACGTATTTCTTACATGTAATAAATTTAATCAAAGTTGAAAAATATGGACTAAAAAAATCAAAGATTACTCTCATTCAATTTCTGTCCTTTCTTTTGAAATACAGTTTCATTCAATTCCAGGTTAACTTGGATTTTATTTATTATTTTATTTTTTTGGAAATAGAAAACATCATTTTCCACAATTTGTATTATATTTCAAGTTTTTTGACTTCTACCAAAAAAAAAAAATTATCTTTATACATGTTTCCCAAATTACATATTAAATATCAAAAAGTACAAAAAATAATGAATTATGTTTTTAATATTTAATTTAATGATTTATATATTTTTTTTC